GATGGCAAAGAGCCCAAATAAGCCAGCCCAAATTTTACATGTAGATAACACATGGCCTCTTTGCCATCTGCCAGCTGATGGCAAAGCTCTTTGCCATCTGCCAGCTGATGGCAAAGTGACTATATTGCCCCATTTAATTTTGTTTTTTCTTATATCAATTCATTTTCACAGAAAATCAAACACAAATATATTTATATGACCAATATAGCATATTCAACACATATTACCAATAGTCATCAATATTACACAGTTTCATCCATAGGTAGCAAGTTTCACAAGGTCAAAACAAAAACTAAATATAGCATAAGACAGGCTACTGTATCAGCTTAGCTTTGTCCTCTGACCATATCATAGACAAGTGACAGACGGGTCAAAATGGAAAGCTTCAATGATAGCCATATAGGATATTAGGATTGACTCTACTTGGAGTGAAAAACAAAACAAACAGGCCAAAATCAATTGCTTTCAGTGCAGCCGTTTCTTTCCAGTTTGCAAACAAGAAATTCTCTGGTTTGAGGTCCCGGTGCATCCACTTCATGCATATGGCAGATCTGATATCGTATAGGAAAGAACAAATGTACACACGTTATTCACTAAACAGACAAAAAAGTGAAGTTGCAGCAATTTAAGTACTACCAAGTTAAATGTGATCCTGGATAATCTAACAGCGCGAATGAACAACAGAAAATGCAGAAATTAATTGCTTCACAGATTAGATCATAACCTATTCAATGGAATATAGCCAACAAATATTTCTACCATGAATCATAGAATGAATGTGTCCCAGCATACTGTTAGGATAGTGTTAACCAAATGGCATGGCCCCTTACTCTAAGAAGCATAAGTAGCTTCTCTAGAACAATAGGAATGCTAGCTACAAAACATTGATGAATTACTCATTGGCACGGTCTCTATTTTAACATCAGGTATCCTAGCCTTATTTCTAAAGAAAGTGATACTTGGCCTGGGTATATACTCCAGTTTTTTCTGGGACATCATGTACAAAACATTTAAAACAGGGCCATGAGGAAAACAACAAGAATATACATTAGATGATGAACACTATAGTCGAAGGATTTTTGGTGACACCAAATAGTATGCAGGCAGTGCATTTCTAATAATATTAATAATCTACGAATATGTAACATTTATCCTATGTTGTCTTTTGATAATTTCTTCTCTCTCAAATTTAGCTGCAGACTTATGACTTGGCACTATTAATTCAGTAGGAGAATGTGAACTTTGCGGAGATTGTTCAGTACATAAAAATATAAGTGAAGCCCAGAAGCAAGTGGTTGAAAGCAAGATGAGGGTGCTCTCTTACTATCCGTTGATAACACTACTCTTTAAGTCTGTTTAAACTGGCTTTTAGGAGAGCACGGAAGCACCATAAAGATTTCTTCCAAGGGATAAAGCATCAGGAAGGGTAAACTGTTGATTTCTGAAAATGGTGCAAGGTATGACATTATAACTAACTAGCAGTCAACCCGTGTAGTCTGCACGGGCTAGTTGTACAGATTATACTTTATTAGTAGAATATTTTTTATAATATTAACTATATTAAAAATGACTAATCATGAGTGTATATTTTTTTAGGTTGTTGAAAGTTTATTGTTAAAACAAAAAAACCATTTATCCATACACAAAAATAGTATTTAAATTTATTCAACATGATGATACTATTTTGTTGCCTCATAGTATATGAATTTAAATTTATTTCACTGTCAGTAATGTTTTGGAAACAATACAATTGTGGGAACAAATAATATTCCGATATTTACAAACAACAGACAACTTTCTTAAAGTCTTGCCATTCTAAAAAATAGTTAACTAATTCTTCATGCATACTAATTCTATATTATCAAAGTGGAAACATTGAGAAGATGTACAAAGTCAAGATCACAATCACAATCAGACTATGTGTTTTTCCATCCAAAATAATTAACATACATACAGTCTTGCAACTCTGTCAGTTGTGAGTTGTGACCATCAAAATAATTAAGCCTAAAACTTTATTAAAGTCTAGTATATGCCTCTTTCACCTCTTGCGCCTTATATATGCCTTGCAGCAGTTCTTGGGACACGAAAAAATATTAAAGTCCGAAGAAGCTAAAAGCAAATTGTTGACTAACCTATCATCTATCAGGATGGATGCATACTGGATCAAGTAAAATAGAAAGGATAAATATCTCCTAGCAAATGCACTTCGGGACATGGGCAGACAGCAGCACAGCCCCTCACAGAAGTTTGAACTGTAAATCCACTGATGATGTAAGTTGTACTGATGCATTATTAACTTTTTCGTTCGACACATTTTCCTGCAAGTAGCGACCAATTTACTAAGATACATACAGAAGATCGAGAACTAAATTCGAACCTTGTTGAGTATAAATTTCCCTCAGGTTGTTAATTATACATATGTATGCATACTCGTATTATTACAACATTTTTTCATTTTCCCTCAGGTTGGATGATAACACTATACACTACGATGCATGCATATGTGCAGAGGTATAAGTGGCCAACTGTAAGATATCGGTTTGAAATATGATTAAGATATTAAAAGCAAAATGTGGTGCACTTGTAACCAATTCAGGTCATTAAAACATTTAGCCCAACAATCAACCACACATCAAGTATCATAATGAGAATGAAAAATATCTGATGCACAATGTTGTCACCTTAAAAATTATTAGTCTAGCACATGATCGCTACACAAAATGTTTACAGAGCCATAAGGTCTCCAACTCTGCACCACCTTAACAAAACTCTGCACCACCTTCACGTAGTATGTACTGTTCCTGATTTGTACCCATAAAAAGCTTCAGAGACACAATTGAACATCGGTTGAGGAGGACAAATTACCTGAGGTGTGTGCTATTGTTACTACTGTTTTTGGCAAGAGGGCATCAGTGCCAGCCGCAGCCAGACTAAATATTTTGCAAGGAATCCTGAGCATCTTCATCTTATGGTTGTACATACCTTTCTTTTTTCTTTTCCACTTTTGCAGCCTATAGATGAGGATTTGACGTGGGAGGTGGTATAAAGTGCATGGACTTCTTGCCAGATACAATCCCACGGTTGTAGAAAACCAATGGGGATATCCAACGGATAATTTTGATTAGTTTCTAGGATTAACGTGGTATCTCGGATGGTGCCTCCAATTAGTAAATATAAGATTACTATGTGGAATTGCAAAGACAACTCACAATAGTTGCTGACGAAAACCATTCAGAATTTAAATTATTTGGTACTGTTAGGAATAAGTACACAACTTTTCTCTGCTGGATGCACTAATCTGAGTTTAGTAAGGTATGGCATTTAATTTGTCTTTGAAAATTCTATTTGAATGAAATCCATGCACGCAAATAATAAGTACCCTATTATTCATCTACAAATTAAGTAATGAACGGGAAACAATTTTGTACACGACGAAAGGAAAAGCACCATGATTTCTCTTCATATTACACAATTGATGTGAAGCAAACTTTTACCAAAAATAATTTAGTGGATCATTAAGAAACCTGCATGTTTCTCTCACTTGAACAACAGAAGCAATTTCACTATTGAGAAGGAAGTCGATCCTGCAAGGCATGAGATATGGCAAGGAATTAAGAAAATATATTTGAGCTCAGCGTGTCTTAGTTGCCTAAATGACAATAACAAAATTTAAACAATTTAAAGAGAAAATCCAGGGCGATGCTTATAAGGAAGTAAAGATAGCTAACTATTTTTGAGTCCTGTGATAGCTTAATTGTGTGTCACGAATCATCCAAGCACATTTGAAAGAAGTCACTTTTGACGCGTCTAGCTTACCAAATAAGTGAAAATGCGTCTTCATTTGTCATATTTATTACCTGAATGTGCTATCCATACCACCTTCAGGGCAATCCAGCATAGCCACTTTAACAAATCATACAACTGAAACAAGTAAAAGGCCCCCAGGAGATTATAACACCCAATGAGTGTCGATGTTTTTGGACTAAAACATAATAAGGAACAAATAAAGTCCCTGACAAGCACCTATACATCATCTCACTACTGAGTGAAATACAGGCATGCCCCCTCATCATGTAACCTCTCCATTTCACAAACATTATAGTTCCATGTTTATTCAATCACCAAGATTTCTGGGCTTTCGCCACAGTCCAAATTCCTGAAGTTGACACAAGTGCAACTCCATGAGGTAACATGCTAACTTTTTTGAAGAAACATATATGTATTAAACTACATGGAACTCTCAAATAAGTCTGAGGTAAGTAGGTAACCAATGTTATCCAGCGGACATGTGATACACTAACAGTTCGGATTTATTATGGTAGTATGTGTTTTGCAAATGATGCAGCAAATGAATGAAACTAAGGGCAGAAAATACAGTAACAAAAATCAATAGCTTGCTATGGTACCTGAGAGAACAGGTCAGCAAAGCTGGTTAACATGTTCTCTTCACCATCTTTGTAACTTTTATTGTTTGCATAGTACTCCACTAATTGCTCCCGGAAAGAAACCTAGAAGCAAAGTGCCTGCAATAGAATCACGAAAGAATTTAGCCAATCCCATAAGGCATATAGATATAAATCTAGAAAACAAATTTTAGATTTCTAAATAATCACCATTTCTGCAGAAAGACACAGACGAAGGGCAGGTGCTCACGATAGGTTAGAACATCTTCACCTGCGCTCCTGTGTTTCACCTGCGCTCCTGTGTTGGGAGCCACCGCACCCGGCTTCTCCCGCACGCTGCCGATGCCGGAACCCGCGACGGCCGCATGAAAGTCCAAGAGGTCAAACCGCGTGCGAGCTATCAGCCGCGTACTTCGCGCACGCCGTCGTCGCCATGCTCAGTAGTGTGCATGCTCGGCCGGTGACACAGAGGACGATGGCTGCAATGCTGCAGGAGCTCCGCCCGCTTCCCTGATCCGCACCGGCCACCAACGTGGGACGGCGCATCCGTGTCATTCTCCACACCAGGGCCCCGACCACATCTGCCACCGACGGCACGGCGCCATTGCGGCTGGATCCAGGAGGGCGGGAAGGAGGGGCGGGGCGGCTGGGCTCCGGTCGGCGAGAAACGGCGAGCTCGAGTGTGGTG